ATAATTCTGTACTCACTGCTAGTCCTGTTTCCAGCGCGATGAAAAATGAGCTTCAGATCCTTTTGCCATCGGTGTTTTACTTTACACAGCTTTTTTGTCCTTTTGGAAAGCGGAAATTTTTCATCGATAACGGTATGATGTTGAGAATGAATTGACATGAAAGCAATATTGAAGTCTTTTATTAAGCCATCTATTTCCTCATTTCTTAGGTTTCTACACGCAGTAGGGATGATATCGCGTGATGCTGTATCCATGTCGTTTCGGAAAGCAGCCCAGTCTGTATTCTTGTACGATATATACTTTCTCGGGATTCTCAGTGAAATATTTGAATCCGTTTCAAGCGACAATTTTAAAGAAAAGTGGTCGGAAAATTACGGTAATGTTTCCAGATTAATATTGCTTCGATTTATATTTATTAATTGTGGACTTAATAGATAATGATCCAGAAAAGAGGCACCACTTGGGAAAGTAGGTGAAAAAGCACATAAACGAGCAACATCCAATGAATTGTCATCCAGCCAGTGTGCGAGAATTTTCCCGTTTGAGTTGTCGTTATGATCGCCCCAGGTTATATTTTTTCAGTTTAAATCACCACCAATGATGAAAGAATCGTAATTTAGACATAATTGAAGAAGTTTATCCAGATCACTACGCATTCTCTGAGATTGGTAATTGCAAGGGATATATATATGGAACCGATAAGCCATTTCTGTTGGGTTCCATTTGATGATGAATCTATCTGGATGGATGAGCTGCAAATCCCGATATCATTCAGTACTATCTTATTAAAGTGGATTGACGATTTGATTGCCGTTGCTACCCCAACAGACAAATTGTTTGATAAGCAGTAGTACCCCGGAATTTTTATTCTTCTGTTTCCGCTTATGTGAGTTTCTTGAATAAATCCAATGTCTATATTGTTTCTGATCAATAAATTCTGTAACTCTATTTGTCGACAAGTGATCTTGCATTAAAAGTTAATATATTAAGACGTCTACTGTCCATATTTTTCTTTTACTTTATTTAATAGTCGCATTTTTTTTTTGCTTCTACCTTTGACATGGTTGTATACCGTGAAAGAAACATAATAACCTCTTGCTCCACAGTTAGTTCTTGTGGCTCCAAAAATATGCTGGCTAATTTCAAAAAGTCCTCAATTAATGATGGCTTTGAAGAAGGTTTATTTTGCTGAGTTTGTTGGGTATTAAATAAACTGGCGAAGGTTTTGGCTGGTGATATTAATGACATATTAACTGCTCTATTGACATTTTCACTTGCAGCACGTTTCTCTTCAATAGCTTTTGCAATTTTCTGTTGTCGGGCGTTTAAATATTTTTTATAAACTGGACAACTTCTCCAATTTGCTTTGCTGGGTGACCAGTTTCACCACAGTTTGTGCAATAGGGGTATACAGAATCCGTCTTTGTTCTCTGACATTCACCCGGTTCATGCTTTTGGTCACATTTAATACACTTATATGCCGAATTACAGTTTCGTGCTATGTGACCCCACTTTTGGCACCTGTGGCATTGAATATCATTTTGCCTTTTCTTGGGCTTTTCCCAAAATATATTCTGATTTTGCAAACCTTTTATGTGATTTACATCGTCAATCTTTTTTCCTGGACGGAGTGATACTGCAAAAAGTCCCGTATCAAAATTATTTTTTATTGAATTGGGTGTTTTAAATTTTGTAACACCATCTACTGTTTCGGGAACGAGTTTATCAAGCTCAAATTTGATAGATTCTTAATCAGTATCTGCATATAGGGATCTGATAATTACGACATTTTGTTTTTGCTCCTTCGGCGTAAATGAGTATGACTGGATGTTTTTTTCCTTCAGAATTGTCATCATTGAAGCATGAACAGCTGGATCTGCGAAATATAATTTGCTTTTGCTTTTGTTGATATTCCGAATTTTGAAGGAAAATTCTGGAATCGATTCAACTAATGTTTTTATATTTACGTTGTACACAAAAATTGGCGTACACCAAGAATTTACGGATGTTGTTGTTCTTTCTTTTTCTTTGGCTGGTCTCGGTTGCGTGGCAGGACGTTGATTATTGAGATTGACGTCAGCGAGGACTCCCAATATGCCGTATTTATTTTGATCTCTGGGATTGTAGTCGCCCAGTTTCGTTGTCAGGTCATCAATGTTTAAATTTATAGGCGATAAGGCACTTTCCAACTTTAGCCGATTATGCTCGTTTGAGTTAGTGGTTTTTTATTGTACATCACCAATGATTAGCGGTGTTGAATTTACTTCCTCTTCCTCGACATCTACGTCAATGACGTGTAGAAGTGGACCAGACATCTTAGATGCAGTAAATTGCAAGTAGGATGCCGGGAGATGTTTTTATTTTTTAAGAAATTGAAAACAATTTCTAAATTATTTGCGCTCAAAAATTTTCTTACTTTCCAACCACTGCACATCGAATTCAAGTCTAAAAAGAGATAACATGCAACCTTATTCTATTTGGAATCGTCGATATCGTTGTCAATTTTGAGCCAATGTCACTTTAAGTCGACGTCAACACCAATTTGGTATTCCGCAACGACGTTGACTGTCTAAAGGTCTGCATGTAATATTTGTCAACAATGGATGATAAAATATGAAATGACTTTTTTTGAGTAAAAGTCTGCATGTAATATTTGTCAACAATGGAGAAAATACGAAATGTCTTTTTTTGAGTAAACGAATTTTCCTGGGTTTCGTGTTCGTGTGGATGGACCAGACATAAAATTGTGCTCCCTAAATGACTCTTAACTAAATCATAGAATTCTCTTTAACTTGTTATATTTCATTTGGGATGTTTAATTTTTATTTCGTAAAAAATCACTAAATAAATTCAAGTCGTCATCAAAGACGGCGACGACAAAATCAGAGTCAATTCAAGGCGATGTCGTTGTCACATTGTCTTACAGAATACCAGACTATATTGATAGTTCTTGATTACTGTCAATATTGACAATGAGAATACGGATTAACAATTGACGAAGTCACCGTCTTGTGTCGACGACGCCAATAGAATAAGGACGATTATTCACACATAAAATTATATACCCCTGAATCGGAATCAGTATATTTGAATAAGATACAAAAAATTATAGATAAAAATTATAGTACCGCCCTTATTAAAATTAAAAATAAATAAATTTACTTAAATACCAATCAATACCAATAAGTAATATCTTTTTTTCTGAAAAATATTTACACAATACTTATTCTATGATGATTTAGAATATTATAAATGGTAGTAAGCCAATTTTTAACTGAAAAACAACCAATAAAATGACGTTGGAAATCCTATTGATAACGATGCATGCTGAACCAAGTATTGCCAAGGAATGTATGAAGGTAATAAGGAATATTTAAGTCGAGTTTGATGCATTTTGGAGGCTAAATACAGACATATTGGGTGAGGATCTGTCTCTCAAGAAAAAATTTTAAAAATTATGGAAAACCCAAATTTGTCTTTTGAGCCGCTTAACAGTGAAAAACTTAAATAAAAATTATGAAAGAACAAAAATTATTATTTTGTTCAAAATTATCGTGTGCATGATTTGAAGGAAGAAATAAAGGAGTAGGAGCAAATCATAACATAACAGGCCATTTTAAGAATTTGGGGACATAAAATATCGGAATTAAATAAAAAGGCACACAATTATGTAGTGAAATGATAAACTGTGAATTAATTAATTCAATCGCAGATTTTTTCCTATTTTTCTTTGTGTTTTTGCCATCATAAAAAATGTTATTTTATTTGTAATCTATTGTAGTTGTTGCAACAAATTGTATCAAAACAATGAACAGCTGTTGCACATGCCATATTGTAGGTTGCCATATTTTCAAACTTTAATTTATTTTCTTTTAATTACAAAGCAGTTTAAATAACAATAAAAAGTAAAAATTTTTAATAACAAAAATCAATAAATAATATATTGAAAAATGTTACACAATTAAATTACTGGGGCAACACACTTAAATTACAATATGGCCACACACATTGTAACTTAATTTACGATATGGCAACACGAATCTTTTTTTCAACCACCATTTTCGAAAACTCGAATCCGCATCTCGCATTTTTTGCATCTCCCCAAGGTATATTTAATAAGGTAGCCGCATCGGCCCAGCTGTTGGACAAATAAATGTCAAAAATGTTGTTGTAATGTTGAACCAAAAAATTAAAAAACAAAATTATGAATGAAAATCTCCGAATTTCGAAGAGCTTTTTTGGCAATACTTTTATTAACATTTTCTACAAGAATTTGTGTAAAAAAATCTTGCCAATCTGTTTGTTTTGGCAAAATATTTTTGATATATCAAAATACAACAACTAATGTTTGTTGTAGAAATTCGCCGATGCGGCTACCTTGTATATCTACCTTGCATCTCCCTATTCATTCAGAATAAGGCGAGAATGTGAAAGCGAAAATTTTTTACATGCGAGATATCTCTCTAGCAAATATCCAGAATAAGGCTGTATAAGTTATTTTATTGGGAAAGTGTTTCGTGTCAATATTATTATTTTATTTGAAGAACACACTTTTCGACAATATAACAATAAAATATAATTACGTAATATATTTTTCATCATTTCATATAAATGAATATTCGAAATGCTTAAATTTAAATGCGATTAAACTGATTTATTATATGTAACCTTAAATACGAATATTCACACATGTCATATAACTAGCTTTAAAAGAGAGTATAAATCATATAAAATATATTATTTTTTTACAAAAGAACAAAAAAAAAAAACGAAAAAAATCCAATACACGTCTAAGTATAAGATTTGGAAATTCTTGAAGTGGCAGATACGGATTAGGTTAGTCCCTTAACCAAGTCTTTTGTATGTTTGCAAAATATTTCGAGATTATTCAAATGGAAAATAATTTTTTATAAATGTGTATTCATTTATATTTCACAAAAAATGAGATTTGATTTGAAATTCCAAAGGTAGGTATTCAAATATGTATATACTTGTTGGCTTCAGTAACTCGAGTTCAGCATGGATAACACCTCATTTGCCATTTCTGATGCTTGTTTCCTTAACTTCATTGCCTGAAAAATACAACGTGTCTACATTCGAATTTATAAAAAAAAAATCTACAAACCCAACCTTTGCTCTCAGCTCCTTTTCATTTGTTATGAGTTCTTGAATTTGCGTTGCCGTCCATTCACTATTTTTTTGATCCACAATCCATCTTAAGTACAATTCTGGAAATGTAGATAAATTAAAATGACAATGTGCTTGGAAATGGAAATGCATTGCTTACCACTCCATAATTCTAAACTTATTGGAGCAACTGAAGGCCATATTACACGAGGATTAGGTTCGTACATTGGGTTTAGGAAGTTCTTGAGCACTTCCGGTCTATTTAAATATGACCACAGACTTGTAGTGCGCGAATGGACTCTCAACTCGTGACGTTCTTTTTCAGAATCACAAAGAAATGTCCCATACTGAGAAAAATAGCTATGCTCAAAAATCAATATTAACATTTGGGTACTAAATTCAAAACTGCAAGGAAACTGTTTATACAACTGATGAATACAGTCCAAGAATAGAACAAATGTTGCGCCATTGCTTTTGTGACGATTTTGTGAGGGAGTGTAACATGAGTAACGATGTCGAGAGGCAAACGGATGTCCAGCCTGTATCCATTCCCGTTCAATTAAAGCTTGTATTCTGTAACAGTAACACCTCTCAATTATTATTTCAAATCAGTAGGATAAATTTCTTACCCGCGCACAGTACGACAATCGGGATTTAAAATAATTTGCACAAGTGACGTAACGATGAGGGTAGAATCCAGACCTTTGGCTCCATGAACTAAAACAGGACTGCCTTCCTGATCAAGACATTGTGCAACAACACAAGCTGCGTTTAACGAACCCAATACTAAGCTCAGCCAATTACTACTTTCTAAACGAGAAAGCCATTTATCGGGTGAACAGCTGACGTCGTTGCAAGCTGGAATAAATGTTACTATGTCTGTTTTCTAAAGGATGTTCAAATGATTATACCTTCAATTAATTTCGAGAAACTCTCTAATATTGCTGCAGGCGAAGATATATTGCCAATCGAACGATTAACTTTTTTCCATTGCGAATAGTGCTGGTCAGTTTCGGTGTTAGACTTTCCTTTACCCCATGTGTCTACAATGAACCCTTTTTTACTTCGACCCAGAACAACGTTCAATATAGATTCATCGGCGCGGCATCGCTTTATACCTTGAATTGATACAGGCTGAGCACTTCTTAGTAGGGCCGCCTAGAAATTTAAGAATGTATTTTTATACGCATATATTATATCGAAAAAATCTTACAAGATATTTGAAGGAATGTGTCCCTTTTACATAAACAATTACTTTCATAAACATGCTCTTTGAGAAACATTGTTTAATATACCTATATCTTATTACTTTTATATATATTTAATTTAATTAATAATTTAGCCTCTATTTCTGTTCGTGGATGTTTAACGTATATACATTTAGAAATAAATTTATGTCGTGAAATATATTTAATATTTGTTTAATTTACATCATAGCGTCATTCATGGTATACTATACGCCCAATATTTCCACATTTTTTCTTATATCTCTTGGAGCATATCCCAGCGTTTTTGGTACCATTTATAATTTCTGGCTAGAAAAAAGGACACATTTTGCTTCTCAATCACCTTCAACTTTTTGTGTTTGTTATTGCGGTACTATGCCAGTTTTTGAAATCCTCAATCCATGCAACTGCCACATAAACAGGCAGATTCATGACATTACAGATTACTAGAATGCTTATCCATAGTATAACATGTAAATTGCTATATGTAGCTATACGAACATTCTGCCTTATAAACTTACCCCATTGTCGTGCCGATAACTAAGAACTGGAAATCGCCCCCCATCTCGAAAGGCTGCAGATTGTATTATTTGATCATCTGTAATTTGCTTTGGTACTATCAAAACCGATCCGTATGTTGGACATATTTTGAAATCTTTATTTACGTTGGTAATACGCCATTCACAACCTACGCCCGTGGTACCAATATTGTTGTCATGGTCATTTGAACAAGGAGAATGTAGCATCGATAGTGGATTTAAAGTTGAATTTGTGTTATTAATTGAAGTCATGCCATTGTTGCAGGAACTAGGAGATATAAGCTTGGCAAACTCCAGTTCGGGCCTGCAAAATAGAACGAGTGTTTTCTTTATATATCTCGATATAAACTGTAATGTAAAATCTACTGCATACCGAAATATTGTATAGCCATCTTCTAATATTGTGTACATAGGTCGATAAAAGAATGGATATTCCAACTCGGGATTGTTAAGAGTGCTCAATGCTTCCAGCGAGGCAACAATGTTTAAGTACTCCTTGGCATATTTAATACGTAGCGATATTATTCTCAAATCCTTACATTTAAGCGTTATGAGACCACCAACGACAGTGTTTTGGACCATATATGGTTTCTTTTCAATATAATCAATATTTTTGTGCATTAACTGAAATATTCACATAGTTGTTTATTAATAACTTCAATCTTCACTCCAATTTAAGTACAACATACCCAAAGTTCCTGACTGTTTTCTTGCCGTGCACTGCTCAATAACAAGTGATGGCCAGTTATGCACAGACGCCCTTCTATAGTAGCGTTTGTGTGGTCATGCAAAAAAACTCCATCTAACTTTGGTGTCTGTATTAACTCCACAAATTCCATTATACGGTTCAAATAGTTTTCCTCGCCACAAGTTGTTGATATCTATGCAAATTGTTCTTCGCCAGAAGTCCGATATCCATATAATTGATTGCTAACACTGCGCTTCAACGTTTCCCATTCTGCGGTTTGTTATGACGTACAACAATAAATCGGCGATTCTACAAGTGGGCGGGGGTTTTCTACACCACTCTTATTGCAAACAAATGGTGTCGGTCGACAAAGAACCTTCCTATTTCAATTTGTAGTCAAGTAAACTTCTTATCACCCGTACCGATTAAAACATTTACCCATACATAAATACATATTTACATACCCGACAAAAGAGGACACACAGCAATAAATTGAACTCATACAATCGCCATATCAGGAGGCTATCGAATATTTTGATAGAACTGTTTCCTGAGCTACCCTGCAGGAACCCAAGATTAAAGTGTCTCCAAACAAATTGTCTACAATGTTTTCTTTAGTCTTTATAAGAAGAAGCATAATATAAATTGATAGCTTGTATTATGCTTCTTCTTTTCATTTCCTCGTCTGTGTTTTCAAAATAGCTTTGTTCCCGTACATTAACGAATCGTTTACTTTTCCAGTAACATTTACTCAGTAAAAATTTATATAGAGTAAATTCAAAAGATATAAAAAAATGAAAGGAAATGGCAAAATGGCATGGTATAATTATACAAGGTAACCGCAAGTGTCTGGTATAATTATACAAGGTAACCGCAAGTGTCTGACATTTTGTTGAGGGTAATACTACCGACAATATCATTCACAGGAAGTATTAATTTCTGAATTGAAGGGACATTTCAACTAAAGCTATTCTTTATTTTTCATATTTTTGTATTTAATTCAGGGAATAATATAAAAGGTAACAGGAAGTGTTGTTGTACAACAACCACGCCAATTAATCAAAAAATGCAAACAAAACATAAATTGTATAAAGAAATATATTTATTTTTAAAACGAAATATTTTGGAATACTTAAAATAAAATTGAAAGAGATGAATAAAAATTCGCTAAATATGGGTCGGTATTTAAATTCTGAAGTGAGTTTTCGGGTGAAATTAGTATAACTTTCTACCAACCAATTTCTTCGTGGTTCTTGTTTGCCTTTGTTGCACAACAACACTTAAATTAGTTGTGTGTTAACTCGATATTTGGTAACTAACAATTGTTACCAAATGTTACAGGATGTTGCCTGTTTACTCCAAAGTCCAGTAAAAGAGAGTGAAAAGAGAGAGTTGACATATTCGACTATTCAAATAGCAAATTTTTTGTTGGATTATTTTTATAGAATTAATTTGTCATATTTGGATTGACATAAGTATTACAGTAGTTTTGACATACACAAATACAACACTGGCAATTATTTCTGAGCGGGAAAGCCAAAAGTGCAGATATCTTAAATATCTTACCTGTCTCAACGTGCATGTACAGTGGCTCCATCGAATAATCGGACAAGTGGTTGTCAGATATAATAACGCTTTACATTTCAAAAAAATTGTCTAAATGTGTAGTTTTTTCGCTTTTATTTACACATTACTTACTTATATTTCTGAACAATACAAAAAACAACAACTTTCCTAGTGATAACAGTAAATTTCGCCAGAAAAACAAAATTAATACAATTTATTGTGTTCAACGCAAAATCGGACAAAGCAAAGTATCAATGGTAAAAAATGCAAAAAATCGAGAAACTAATATTTAGTTGCATATTCTTTGTTGTCCAGAACGGCCTGTAAACGCTTCGGTATTGATTTGACCAAATTCTGACATACCTCCGGCTCTATGGAGTTCCACGATTCCAGTAAAGCCTCCTTAAGCTGTACTAAGGACTTAAATTTTTTTTCATACACTCTCCTAGCTAATTCTTCCCAAAGATGCTCAATTACGTTAAGGTCTGGGCTCTGTGCAGGTGTTTGTATAAGTTTGGGGCAGTTATGGATCAACCAAAGCTTTGCTACACCTGATGTGTGCTTGGTATCGTTGTCTTGATAAAAGGCAAAGTTGTTCGCGATACCCAATTTGTCTGCACTTTGCTTTACATTTTGTTTTAAAATGTTGAGGTAGACAAATTTGTCCATTTTACCATCAATAAAATGCAAATTACCTACTCCCGCACTCGACATGCAGCCCCAAACCATAACGGAACCTCCTCCGTGCTTAACAGTGGCTTTTGTATTCTCATGATTATAGTCAGCATTTGGCTTACGCCACACATACATCTTCCCATCTGATCCGTGCAAATTAAATTTGCTTTCGTCAGTAAACAGAACCTTAATATAATGAAAACTATCAATAGAAATTTATTTTAAGATGATCTATCATCAAATTACCTGCGTCCAATAATCGTCTGGTTTTAGTAAAAACTCCTTGGCATATTTTATACTACAGTTTTTATTTTTAAGGCTAATAAATGGCTTTTTTCTTGCAACTCTCCCATAATAATTATATTTATGCAATGTATTGCGAATAGTATTTAGGCACACATCTTTTCCAGTGCGAGTTTTTAAATTTATTTTAATTTCTTTTGCGGTTTAAAATGAATATTGTTTTATTTCTTTTAATATCGAACGCTCTTCTCGCTCATTTAATATCTTCCCTTAACCTTCTCTGCTTTTATTGGTCAATCGGAACTCATCACGGAACCTCTTTATAATGTCGTGGACAGTAGATTTACTCATTCCTACCAATTCGGCAATTTCTCTTACTGTTTTATCTTCATAACTCAATTTATCTATTAATTGCCTGATTTCCACACTGGATTGTTTCCCTTTTGGAGCCATTTACATTTATTTTTATTTAGTATTACCACTTTCTTGGTCTAAATGCAATTTACGAATGAATATGACAAACAAAATACCGATTTGAAGTTAATATTTGCATAATAACGGGACTTTAAACATTGATACTTTGCTTTGTCCGATTTTGCGTTGAACACAATAAATTGAGTTAATTTTGTTTTTCTGACGAAATTTACTGTTATCACTAGGAAAGTTGTTGTTTTTTGTATTGTTCAGAAATATAAGTAAGTAATGTGTAAATAAAAGCGAAAAAAATTACACATTTAGACAATTTTTTTGAAATGTATAGCGTTATTATATCTGACAACCACTTGTCCGATTATTCGATGGAGCCACTGTATGTGAAATCATTCTGGAATACGCGGTCAACACGAAGTACCTAAAAATAAAAAATTCTGATCTGTTATCTTAAATGGATTTCTTTTTCCCCAAACGCGTTAAAAAATGCGATTGGGGAAAAAGAAATCCATTATGAAAATGTTGATAAAATCGCAGAAATGTTGTAAATGGTTTACACAAATCTTGATTCAAAAAAATCTCGATGTTTGGGTGCCACACCAGTTAACAGAAAAATTTGGATCGAATTTCCATCTGCGAAGCCTTAGCCAAACGGAATGAGAGAGACCCATTTCATAAACGGATGGTGACTGGAGATGACAAATGGATCGCATACGATAACCCTGTGCGAAAACGATCGTGGTCAAAGAGCAGTTAATTACCCATAACGGTGGTCAACCAGGACTAACGGCCAGGAAGGTTCTGCTATGTATTTGGTGGAACTGGAAGGTGATTATTTACTATGAGTTGCTTCTATATGGACACACGCTAAATTCTGATCTCTGCTGTCAACAACTGGACCGTTTGAATATATCAATTGACCAGAAACGGCAAGAATTGGCCAACAGGAGAGGTGCCGTGTTCCACCAGGACAACGCTAAGCCACACACATCTATAGTGACTCGCCAGAAACTTCGAGAGCTTGGTTGGGAAGATTTAATGCATCCGCAATATAGTCCGGACTTGGCACCAAGCGATTATCATCCTTTTCTTATATTATAAAAATTTGGAGAGCTAAATCCAAAGTGAAGCTATGAACAAGGTAGGTAAATCAAAACTACTGTGCGTTGTATCAAATCAGCTGGGTTTTCTAGTTACCTTTTACAATTGTACCATGGTAGAAACCATGGCACAATAAATAGGTAGTCCATTTAGCGCAGAGATTTACTGTCAAAGTGGTTTCTACTTGAATTGGCTCGCTCTCCTTTATCTATATACTTCTCACAAATTTTAAATATCTTCATATTTTAAAAATACATCTAGATGGCTTCGACATAACTAGCCACAACAAGAAACAATTGTAAATTGTGGTTGCTGTGTGATAGTGCCATGCAATAAATAATTTATAATATTCAAAACTCGCAACTTCGTTAGCGAATGTAGGAAATATTTAAACATGTATTAACATATTGTTACGTCATTAATTTTACTTAATCCCGTGTAGACGTTGTTTTATTTCCCAAGAAGTTCGTACTAAATAAAACGCGGGTTCTTTCTGATTACGAATATTACAATGATTTTATTTACACAACTTTACTTTGCACTTTACTTTACTTGACGGTTTGAATTCGCGATCTGATTCACAACTGACTAACTGTTGTTGTTGTGAAGTTATTCTAATAAACTGCGTAGTAGAAATTTACGTTACAATTCAAATTCTTAAATTAACGGAATTCATCTAAATTAACTTAAATCTAAAGTTATATTCGTAACATTGCCCCCGCTTAAGCCTGTTCGTCCCGAATAGGCACAGTTCCCGTTCCGTAGGGGGCCAGCCGCTCCAAATGTACAACTTTCATCTTCGACCTGGGACTGTCGCTCCTCTGGATGCGATAAACCACATCATTTATTTTTGACAATCTTGTAGGGTCCTTCCCAGTGCGTTTGCAATTTGGGGCATAGTCCTTTTTTTTCGTTGTGTATGGAACAGTAGTACCAGTTGCCCTTCTTGAAACCCATCGGTATTTGCCGCTCGATTGTACCTTGCCTTCATGCGGTTGCTAACCATTTTTATTCGATGGCGAACTGCATCGTGGACTTTACTAAAAGAGTTTTGACTGTCTTCATCTTGGTTCACATCGTCGTTTGGGGTAGCACCGAATATCAAATCGCCAGGTAGCTTTAATTCATTTCCGAACA